CCCTGTGGGGAGCTTGATGCAGGACTCCATCCCAGGACCCCAAGACCATGACCTGAGCTAAAGGCAGACACTCAAGCACTGAGCCACCCAGGTGCCCCTCAGCTTGACTTTCCAGCTCACTCTTCTCTTTTTCTCATGTTATGTTCACCAGGCTGCTGGCTTACTTTCTGAGATCTTCTGACTCCTTCCCCTCTTCAATTCTGGATCTCCTCTCTCCTATTTTTAATCTGCACCTCTCTCCTATTTCCAGCATTTTCTCCTTAGTTTGGGAATGGAGTTAGGGTTAGTTAGCTCTGAGAGTTGATGGGCCTCAAAATGCTCCATTAGCTTCAGAACTCAAAATGTACCCATTGTATGCATCTGCTCCTGGACTGGGTGTGGCTCCATTCAGTTTCAGCTGCTGTCCTCAAATTGGCCCACTGAGCTTTCCAGAGTGTCTGTCAGCTTGTTTGATATTCTGTCTGGTGTCCCTGCTGTTTCTCTCTGCTTTCTCTTGCTGAAACCACGCAGCTCTGTAGCTCTTGGTGGTTTGTCCCTATCATCACCTGTATTTGGGGTTGTAGGGATACTTTATGGTAGTAGCTGTCTACAGACTTCTGGGTTCGTTACTTATTTTGTCTAGTTTTTTAGTCAGGGGAATTTAGGGAGATTAAAAACTAATGCCAGCGCTATTGCCATTTCCCCATTATTTCTTCACACTTTATTTGTAAGGAAAAAATGTTGAAATGCTATTAAAATGCCTGAGAGATTATTTTGCTTGATTTGAGTTTTGTTGTACTGCTTTGATTATAAATGAAAGATTGTGTTGAAAAGCAGAGGCTAGTGTGAGAGACAAATCATTTTGGAGGCTTTATCCTATGATTTAAAGAATGAAGGAGATCTGGAAGACATAATGTGTCATGGCCTGGGCATGAGAGTAAAGGACGTAATCTCAAAGGATGATGGAAATTTACATTCCAAGGGGATCTGACCTAACAAATTGCATCAGTTCATGGAGAAGAATGAATAGTTCTCCTTTTCTTCTGATTTTGGGAATAGAATGAAGACTCCTGTCTTAGATTCCCCATAGACTCAAGCCATGACACCAAAAGTGAGTTGGAACCATCTTCTTGGTAAATAAACCAATGCAAAATGTAGATTTTTTTTCAGTACGGGATCTAATGTAATGAAAAATAATTATCCTTATTTTAATATGGTCTTCCCTTCTGATTAATTCAGAGAGTTTCCCACATAAAAGTTATACCAAAGAGACAACATACCTATGAAGTATAATTGTCAGGTACTATAATCCCTGTTTTAAAGGAGAGGAAACAGAAATATCTCATTTGGGACGGCTGTGTGGCTCAGTGGTTGAGCGTCTACCTTTAGCTCAGGTGGTGATCCTGGGATTCTGGGATGGAGTCCCACATTGGGCTCCCTGCAGGGAGCCTGCTTCTCCCTCTGCCTGTGTCTCTGCCTTTCTCTCTGTGTCTCTCATGAATAAATAAATAAAATCTTAAAAAAAATATTCATTCATTCATTTATCCAATCAAGCAGGGTGATACAAACATTCTAGTTATGTTAAATCAGGTCATAAAACTCAAAAGTGAAAATATTTAAAAAAAATAATTGAAAATAGTCTCAGTGTTGAGATCTCATTCTTCCCAAGGCAAGAAAACTTAATTTGGCCAGTTCCACATGTACTTTTGTTACCTACGAATCTCTCCTGTACCCAAATCATTTCTGGTTAACATGTAATCTCTTTATAACCATCTCACTCCCCCTTGTACTTCTCAGGGTAGCCACTAAATTCTTTGGGGTAGAGTGTGGAGGCAGGTGGCAAGGGGAGATACCTGGTTCTCAGAGGTGAACACCTTTGGCTTTACCTCAGAAGCTGATGTCCACTTTTCCATTGCTTTTGGATCACTGATCTATGCACTTAGCTCTGCCCTTCTTTGTTTTGACCTCTAAGTCATTTCACAGCTTTATAGTCCTCTCTCAGACCCTTTGAATGGTTTTTAATGCTATAGATACTAAAGAACAGATTTGGGGGCATTCCTCTGGCTCTTCCTACCCAAATGCTTTATGCTAACATGCTGCTCTCTGTTGGATTATTAAAGAGAAGCTCCAGGCCCTTGGGTGTTTTTCTGATCCCTACCCTAGCAATAGAACTCAGATCTCCTCTGTCTTCAGATCTTAGAAACATATCTGGGGGTTTTCTTATCTTTAGCTCCATAGTTTTTTTCAAGCCAATCTTGACTAAAATGGGGAGGTATAAATCCCTTCTTGGAGATACACATCAAAACCTCTGGATGAGAGAAATGGTTCCCTTGTGTTTGGGGCAGATTGCATTATTGTTTATAATTAACCACCCACCACTGCCCTATAAGATTATAATCCATGCCCATTGACATGTGATTTGCCATGGAAGCTGTAGACTTCTTCTTCACTGATTTGGGGTTTGACTGTATGAAAGGTTTTGGGCAATAGGATTTGAGTGGATATGTCATGACATGCTGAAGAAGCAGCTTTAAGAGGCCACATGTGTTTCTACTAGTTCTCTGGTTCTTCCCATATGTCATGAGACATGTATGCCAAGTCCCATACAGGGGCTACTTCTTCAGCCTGGGACCTGGAACAAGAAGACCTAGGGAGCTTATCCACAGCATGTTATTAGTACAAGCAAGAAATAAACCTTTGTGGCAGCTGGCCATTGGGATTTGGGAGTTGTTTTTAATAGCAAAGCTGACTTATACATTATGGTTTAATTTCTTTTTTTTTCTTTCAGTCCTAAAAAGCTATTCCAAACTCAAACCTTTTACTTATAAGACTGTTGCCACACCATGAGCTTCAAATGTCTATTAAACAAACATCTGAGACTTGCCTTCTTTTTCCCTGAGGTGAGGAAGGAAATGCCCTAGCTGTTTGGGAATAATATAATACCAGGGGCAGAGGACATGGAAATGTATATATGTGTGCACAAAGCTGGAGTGTGAGGTACCTCAGTTAATACTTCAGAGTTTTATCCTGTCATTCAAAATTGAATGAAAGAATGAAATATACAGTTTGAGAAATCCCAAGATATGTATCTTTTCTGTCCTAAAGAAATTTATAGGGCAGGTTAGTAATTTCTTTAGGTAACTATAATATGAGGCAATAAATATTAAGTATGTCATCAGGGTGTGCAGACAAGTGCTATGGAGATCATCAAAGAAGAGTCCTTGAAGGATAGGTAGGATTTAGAAATACAGGGATGGGGAGAAAAAGCACTTTGCATCCAAGATGCAGATTGAGCTAAATTAGAGAGGCAGGAAAGTGAGTGCCATGTATGGTATGAGTAAACAGGTAAGTACTAGTGATTGTCTTGTTCATCATTAGACTGGTGGGAGAGTTAGGTTGGAAAGGCTAGCAGGGGTGCCCTTGCGGTCCTAGCTAAAGAGTATAGACTGTGGAGTGGCTAAAGACCGTGCAGAAAAAGGTCTGGAAAGTGGATTTCAGCAGCATTTATCATTCTAAAAACAATGTGTCCCTTTAAGATTTTGACACATAAAGTATGTATACAAAAATTGGAGAATCATGGGCAGCCCAGGTGGCTCAGCGGTTTAGCGCTCCTTCAGCTCAGGACGTGATCCTGGAGACCCGGGATTAAGTCCCATGTCCGGCTCCTTGCACAGAGCCTGCTTCTCCCTCTGCCTGTGTCTCTGCCTCTCTCTCTCCCCTCTCTGTGTTTCTCATGAATAAATAAAAAAATAAAAATCTTTTTAAAAAATTGGAGAATCAATTCAGAAAAATTCTCTTTTCTACCTAGGCCTGATAGATTGATCTCCCCAAATGGCCTGTGCGCACTAGCTGTGTGTGTATGATTGCTGAATTATCGTATTTATGAAGCCATTTCTGGAAAACAGTCAACCTGGTTTGTTGTTGGTGTTACTGAACGGTGTGTTTCGTTCAAAGAAACAGCCTTAATTTCCCGCAGTAGTTGCCTACTACTAGCGCACATCTTGCTGTACTTACATCTCCTTGAAATTTTACACTTGATCTTAGCCAAAAGGCTGAGAAGCGATCTCTCCTTGAAATTTTAATTAATGGTTAGAAAATAAGTACATGGTCATAATGACACTGTACACTTAAAATGGTGAAAATAGTAAATTCATGTATATTTTGCCCCCCCCTCCCCCCAGCAAACCTTCCTATGGAATAGTTCACAAATTAATAGAAGTTTAGAGCTGGAAATTCCTCAGCTCATCTCTCATTGTCAATCCTACAGGTGTCGAGGTTGACTAGCAGATGTGACACTCTAGCACCAGCCAATCTTTTTCTGGTCTTTTCTGCCCTGCAGATAAGGATCCAGGGTCTAGGAGAAAAGTCTTCTCTATCTGTTGCCCACCGTGGTAGAGGAGTGTGTGTTGTGTGTGTTTGTGCACACACGTGCGCACACGCGCCCTTGTGTGACTGGAGACCACTGAGCCGCCAGCCACAGTGTCCTTCCTCCATTCTGGGGAAAGGTACGGTCTAAGGGTGCTGTTACAGCACTTGAAGGGATCCTGGACCATCCGGCGGGACCTGAGGCGGCAACCAGCGGACGGACGGCGCGGCTGGAGTGAAAAAAAGGTTTGGATCTCAATGACAGCAGAAGAAAGTTGCAAAAGGTCTGCCCAAGCGCCTGCTCCGGATCAACTTTCCGCCGCGGACGTGAGGAGCAGCTCTCGGGGCCCGTGGGCGGGGTGATGCGCCCTGCTCCCGCCTGTGCTTGCTCCCCATCCGCGCCCCAGCGCCTCTGCTCTGGCGTCCGCACCTGGCCGGCGCGCGCCCCGAGGGTCAGGGACCCAGGCCAGAGCCGCCCGCGCGGCCGCCGCCCCTGCTGCTGCTGCTGCTGCTGCCGCCGCGGCCGCCGCCGCCGCCTCCGCCGCCGCGGCCGCCGCCGCGGGCCCGCCCGGCCTGGCACATGCGCAGTGGCGACGCCGGGCCGGCGCCTTCAGTCTCCTCCTCCGCCGCCTCCCGGTTCCGCAGTCACTTCCTGCAGCTGTTTCCCTGTGGGTCCGGCCGGACTGACTTTTGACAGTCAGCCTTCAGCTGCGGCGGGGGCCTGGCGGGGGCCAGCCGGCAAAGTCGCGCGGGGGAAGGCGGCGTGGAGGCGGGCCGAGCCGGGCGCCGCGGGCGGAGCGCGGCGAGCAGGCTCCCGGCGCGTCCCGAGGGTTCCGGTGAGTGCGGGCGATCGCGAGCCGCGGGGCATTCGGGACGCGCCCGGGAGCGCCGGCGCCCAGCGGCTCCCTGCGGCTGCGGGCTTCCCACCTGCCCTCCACGTGACAGCCTTGCGCCGCTTTTATTTATCTGTTTGGTGCTGAGCTTCTCACGTGCACCGCTCGGAGCGCCGGGGCGTGCAGCTCCGGGGCCACGGGGGATTCCATCTTCCGTGATGGCATCCTGACGGGCAGAGGTGCGCGTGTGCGCAGGCACACACCGGGACCGCGGGCCCTCCGTGGGCGATGCCGAAGTGGCCGTAGCGCACCTGCAAGTGTGCAAACGATTCCCTTGGATTAGGAAGCGTCACAGCCGAGACTGGAAAACACTCGCCAATTCACCAAGGCCTCCCCCCCACCCCCCCCCAGATCCCTGCGTTCTTTTGAGTCTTCCCTATATGATTTACCTTGCTCAGCTGGTTATTTTTCTATTTTCCTCTCTCTCCTTCCTCCCCACTGCGTTCCGATGACCTCTGAATGATGCTCCCCGATTCCCCCTCATTTCCAGGATTCCCGATTACCGTACAGACCTCCTTAGTTCGCTGAGGTGCCAATTACCTGTTCCTTTACACCGTTCTCTTTCCTCTGTAGGTTTCTCCAAATGAGAAAGTGATTGTCTTTTCATACAGTCTGTGAAGAGTAGGCCCCAGTCCAATCATGAAAACTATGTGATGATCATCCGTTTTCTTTAAACAAGGGTATATATACCACGAAGCTTTGACTTTATTGTCTCCGCAAACCTCCCTTCCGAACCAGGACATTAACCACCATAAATCCTTATGTCACTCCAAGCACCAAATGAAATGCAATGGTTTTTAAGATCTGAGGAATATATTATTTACATCAGCTGCCGAGTTAGTTTCTTTTAATCTCATGCAGTAGCTGAACAGATCCCAGTGGCATATGCTTTGGGTCTCTCTGTATTCCACCATTCATGCTTTCACTAAAGGTTCGGTTTTATTTCTTTTAGATTTGTGCTAGTTTTTGTTTGCCAGCATGGTAATCCCTGATGTAGTTGTTATGCACAGAGCCTCTTTGGGAGTTATGTTATCGTTTCGATTGTTAAATATTACAAGAAATAACCTTGAAATACCTAGCTATTCTTTAAAAATTTTGAAGATAAAATGTGATAATGGGTATGTCTGTACTTGGCAAGAATTTTTTCTGTAACACAGGGGATTTTATCACTTCCAAAAAGGGGTCTCTTGGACCTCTGTGCTTGGAGACTGGCCTTTATTTTGATGGAAACCTGTAGGCAACACTGGGGGAGATGCGGGCTGGAATTTCCTCAAGTGGGAGTGAGCTTTCATAAAACAAGTCCAGACATGTCTAGGCGATCAGTAGTATTTGATTTTGTTTATATTGTTGATTGCCTTTATCTAGATGTTTCAATACCCTCCTCCATTTTCTCTTCTGAACTGGCAGCTTGTTTGTGGCAGTTTGGTATGTCTCTGTACAGGTGGTATGTGTAGTCTTTTAATATTATGAATTATTATTACTTGTTGAATGAGTGATTTTTGTCTCCTTAGTTTTCCTTTTTAAAATGTCCATGCCTGTCTTTGCTTGATTTAATTGAGAGGAATAATATGATTACAGAGAATCTGACTTTTTAAAGCTTCTAAATTTGTATTGCTTTTCTTTATCTTCCCGGAGCATATGGACAGCATACTTATGCTTAAGTATAAAAAAATATAGTCTTTTAAATATGATGCGTGAGAAGTATTGTTGAATAATATGACTAATTTTTGTACTTTGCCCTTAACTACATTATTTCCCCATTGCACTGATGATATCTTCTGCTGCCCCAGACCCTGAATTTAATATAAAAGTTGTTACTTGCCTGCAATGTCCATGTGTATACTTATTAGATTTGGTAAAAGAGACTTAACTTTTTAAAATTTTAGTTAATTTTAGTAAATGCATTATCATCTGAAAATATACACATTTCTCTTGCAGATGGAAAATTTCAACAGTTTAAAATAGCCATAGTTTATTGACCAAAGAAAGAGGTTTTAATAGTATTGAGAGAGTGGAAGGAATTGTGTATTTTGGAATAAGGATTTTAATTTGGGTTAATTAGAATCATGGGAACTCATAACGTGTACTGTGGTTCATTTTGAGATACTCGGGGTTAGAAAGCACCATCTGGGTGGAAGGCAGGAGAAATCATGTATAAAATCGAAGAGCTATTAGAACATATTGGATGTTTTCTGAGTGAAACAGAAAAATCAGTTATGTAATAAAAAGAGGAAAGGAGATTGCTCTAAGACTGAGGAACTAGAATTAAATGGGGGCTTATGACAATGTGATCCATTACCTCATAGGACATTTGCTTATTGCACTGTTATGCAGGTAATTTATGACTAGAAGGAGAGAAAATATTCTGATTTTATAGGGGACTCATGAAGGCTGTATGAGGTGGGGTCCTAAGCTCAAGGGCCTACAGGGAGCAGGTAAGTAACACAAATACAGACAGCAGGCTAAGCGGGAAGGAAGTGGCCTGGAGAAGGCAGACCTGGCTACTGGGGACAGTGCCTTTCAGCACTAACTAGGTAATTGTCCGTGTAGGGCCATGTGCCCAATGTTGCCAGATCATTCTTTTATCAGGAGAAACCATGAATCTTGATTTTAAAATGTTGATGACTAACTCAATTTAAAAAGTGAAAGCAAAACAAAACACTGTATATTCAAAACAGACACATCTGAGGCTGCATGTGGCCTACACACTGTCTGCAGCCTCTGCTGTGAGGAATCATTGGCTTACCTATTTAAATATTATTGGTTGATGGGAAGGAACTCTTTTATTTATTTTTGTTACACAGTAACTGAGTTATTCCTAGACTTCCTTGATATTTTAGCTAGCGCTAGAAGTGTTTTAAGGGTTCTGAGACATGAAAGTCTATATTTCGCTCTTTTTGATTCATCTGGTTGGAAAGACTAGTTTGGATGGAAAGGAGACATTTGCTAAGCCAGTGGTGTTTTTGTCTATGCATAATTATCATCGAGAGTATTTAAGTGTAAGTGTGCCTGAGGGAAGGGGTCCGGACTAGGTGACCTTTGATGTCCATTTCATCCATATGACTTTTAGATTTAATTAGCCAGGATGCAATGCTATTAATGTTCATAGGCCAGAGGGACCGCAGTTGGAGCTGTGCCAAGCAAAATAAAGTGAAATCTATAAAGCTGTTCTCAGTGGAAGAGCACGGTGTCAGTGTGGATTAACAGATAGGGGACGTCTGCTAGATGAGGCAAAAAGAAATCCCAAAGGTGGTATGGAGAAGTAGAGGAAGGGGTCAGATGGTATGTCATTTACATGTTTGCTGAGTTCACATTTTTAACTGAGTTTTTTTTTTTTTTTTTTTTTTTTTGCTGTTGATTCAGGTTTGAAGATCTGACTTCTCCTCGCCCATTGGATTATGCCCAAGGCTTTCCTACCCAATGATCCTCTTGCAACACGCCGGGCTTCCTCTGCCTAAGCGGCCCTCATCCTCTCCTCCTATGTCAGTGGCCGCCAGGTCTACAGGAACCTTGCAACTTCCTCCACAGAAGCCTTTTGGGCAGGAGGCTTCCTTGCCTCTGGCAGGGGAAGAAGAGTTACCTAAGGGAGGGGAGCAAGACTCTGCCCTGGAGGAGCTATGTAAGCCCCTGTACTGCAAACTCTGCAATGTTACCTTGAACTCCGCGCAGCAAGCCCAAGCTCATTATCAGGTAAGGGGAGAAAAGAAAGTCCGGCCTTTAGTGAGAGAACCTTTTAGGGCTTTGCCCATTTCAGAGTCTTCTCTCTAGATATGACTAGTTGTGCCTGTAATAATCAAAATGGCTTAGTGAACAACTACATTTTTGTTTGTTTGATTAAAAGCATAATGTTCCTACATTAAAAGAAAGCATCACTTTTCTTAGAATGGGATCTCAACCTAATTGTGTGGCTTTTGATAGTTTCCTAGTCATTGTAGGCTAGTGTACATCATCTATGCTTGTGTACAAACCTGTGATTCTAAAGTGAATAGGTATTTGAAACATGATGTACCAAACTCAATTCAGTGTCAAACTGTTTAGGAGACTTAGCCTTTTAAATATTCTCCTCCAGCTAATACAGTTTGCATCGATTCAAGGTAATCTGTCTATGAATGTTATGCTTTTTCTTTTTTTTTTTAAGATTTTATTTATTCACAAGAGGCAAATAAAGAGAGGCAGAGACATAGAGGGAGAAGCAGGCTCCATGCAGGGAGCCCAGTGAGGGACTCGAACCCACAACCCTGGGATCACGACCTTAGCCAAAGGCAGACGTCTGCTCAACCACTGAGCCACTCAGGTGTCCCTGTTTTGCTTTTTATATTTGGCCTCGGACTCTTCTTATATAACCTATCACTGCTAAGGAAAACACAGGTATTTTTCTGTGGTTGGAATAAAATGACATTGGAATATTGAACCTTACCTCATAAGGAAGCATACTCTGAACTGATCATTTCTAAGACTTAAAGCTTTCACCTCCATGTAGAATGTCTAGTGGGAAGGACAGTTTTACAGGGTGTAATTACCTAAGAACAAATAGAAAGCTAACCTTTGGCTAGAGAGAGTACAGTATTTCTTTTTATTTTAGATTGCTATCCATATGCAATTATACAATTTCCTTTTTTAGAGAAAGGAGACCCGAGAAGCAATTGAGGTCAAATGTCACCGAATGAAAGGATGTCTTCTGGGTCAGCCTTGTTTTGACTATTTATTTTCTGCGCAAGTAGCTGCAATAATAAGACATGGCAGAAAGAAGACTTACACAGCTATTTCTTCTATCGTGCCATTCTGTCTCTAACTTAAAGTTTTTATTGACTCTAGGTGTAAATCTTTTTGTTTTGTTTTGATCCTAAAGACTGATGATTGTGTCACTTTGTGATTGTACCTCAGAAATATTTTGATGGTGTATTGTTTTCCCTGGGATTTAGGGGAAGATATAATATATTGCTTCCCTGGAGTTCTCTTTGTTTGGGTTTGTTTTGCCCTCAGGTGTAGGGAGGTGAGTTAATTATATCTCCAATCTTGGCACGTGTCCTCAGCGGTGCATAAAGGCATCTTCTGGTTTTATTTTTACGCACCCCCCCTTCTTCAATCCTACTCTTGTTCCCTCTGTGTACCACTCTCCAAACAACAGTGGTTGGATACAGGGTCTTCCTTTGCCTATCTTACTGTTTGAGGGGTGTTGGTTAGGATAGTGCTTCTCAAACCCAAGACACAGTGCTAGCTTTCCTCTTCATTTATTCCTGTGGATATTCAGTTTTATAGCCTAAGACTCACTTTGAAAAATCATGCTTGAGTTCTAAAGTTTTGATTTTTAGGTATGTAAAGCCCCTGGTAAATCATTAACTTGAGAAAACCCACCTGTGTGTCCTCTAAAGGTAAACCTCTTGGGAAATGTGTAATTTTAATATGTGTGTATGGATTATACCTGTATCTCCTGCCTGTTTGTTTCTCCTAATATCACTTTGTGTCTCTGTAAAAGGCAGTGATGGCTGCTTTTGGTTATGCATAAGAGAGGATTCAGTTTGAGCAGGCTCATTGGATTATAAGGTTTAAATTAGATAAGAAACAATCTGGATTCATATGGATTTTTTTCTTTGATTCTACATTTGTGTGTGTGCACGCGCTCTGAACTTTTTAGTTAATAGGGTTAGTAATTATACTTAATTTCGGCTCTGTCCATAATGTGGTAAATATATCAACTAGAAAATATGGGAATAGGGAAGTGAAATTTGGGTAAGTATCTCAATAATCAAGAATTTTTAAGTGGAAGAGTTGGAGAAGGAGGACAGTCTGTTGTAGTGGATAATTTAAGCAGCCTAGAACTAGGGTAAAGATGAAGAAGCTAGTGGGTATTAAGAAAGTAGAACCTAATGGAAAATTAAAAGTTTGGGTTTTTCTAAGAGTTTATTTTTAAGAGCTTAGGAGCAAAGATTTGAATGAAGAAGGTTTGGGGATTTTTTTGTTTTTGTTTTTCTTTACAGAGAAACAAGTCAAAGCAGTTAGTGTATGAAAGTGTGGAGCAATTTCATTAGGATAGTACAGGAGAAAGTTAACTTTAGAAGTGAAATCTGGATTTCAACAAGAAAGATATGGTCAAGATGAGGGAGTGTGGATCAAAGAGTAGATCAGAATAATAAACAATCAGAGCATGAACATAACTTAGAGGTGGGTGAAACCACCATAGAAGGGAAACATAAAAATGTCAGCCTGAAAGTTGCATCAAACGCCATATACATGGTACATAAGTAGGCAGTTATTTAAAAAGGCTATTGAAGACAAGGGTAGGACCATTGAGTAAGGCTTACCAAGGCCCAGGAATAGGCAGATTGGCAGTGATTATAAGTAGACTACTACAACAAAGTGGTAGATGAGATGATGGAAAGTTTTATTTCTGAAAACCTGCTTTATAATTTTTAATACAGAGTGGTACCAAGACCGCAAATTCACTATTTCAGTTATGTGTGGGATAAAAGGGGTCAGTGGTAGCCTGTTTGTAAGCTAGAAACACATTTGTGTGAAGTGATAAATCACTGTGATTACATTACTCCAAATGGTTGAGTCAGTTGATGCCATTGTTGAAATTGCAAAGTTTCAGATTGCCCAGGGTATTGTAAACAATCTTCAGTCTGGTGTGAACAGTGTTATATTAGAGTCTAACTGTATCATATTCCAGAAATCCAGGACACATAATGGGAGCTGCTCAATCAATACTTCCCTTTAAACTCACTACTTCTTTCCCTGACATCCCGCTAACATTACTAAGTTGGGGCTGCTGTAGCAATGATCCTTGTGTATCTGTGGTTGCCACAGATTTACTTTTATTCCCAGGACTTTTTAACTTAGTCATTCTGCTTCAAAATACCCTGAATTGTTGTTTTATTTTTAGTAAGATTACCTATTTTTACAGTCTCAGAATTATGGCTTTAGTTATATATTAATTTAAAATAAAATCTTTGGAAGAAAAAACATATCTTCATTTTATTAAAATCTATCTGCTGCCTGCAGGTTACGTAGGGCAAGCCTGGCATGGAGTAACACAACACTGTCTTAGCAGCAAACATGCCCAGAGGAAGAACTACTTCAGATGGAAGGTCATTAACCCAAATAAAACAAGCAAAAAACAAAACTGGTTGAATTTTACATGTCCATTTAAAAAATGGTCTGAATTCATCATGCAGAGAATGCAATTGATATTATCCCAAAATTTAGAATACTGATTTTGGCACTCATATTTTAACAGGGGTCACTCAGGTTTGGATGACATTATCACCAACTCTAATCTCAGCTAATTTTTATGTTTTCAGAGTTCTCCCACCTGGTTGTTTTCCAAATGAACTTGCACTGGACTGAGAATAGTCCAAATGCACTTCACAGGGGGACAGAAGTTCTCTATGATGCTGCTGGTAGCTGCACCTTGCCAGCTCTCTCCCTCAATCCCTGTTCCCCCTACCTCGTTTCTTCTTACTTCCCAAGAGTACATATCCCTTCTTCTGACAGGCTGATTCCTCACCCTAACTCTGGATTTCATCACCTGTCATCACTTCTTTACCTCGATCAAATTAAAAAGCTGCTCAGGTTTTTCTATGTAAATAAAAATAGCAACAGCAGCCTTCCCTTTGTTTTAATCCCTCATATTGGCAGCTTTTCTCCTCTCCTTAGGGTTCTGACAAGTATAATTGTCCTCTTCTGATCTCTATTTCCCATTTATTCCCCTGCCCACCACTGCATTCTGGTTTTATTCTACTAATATTTATCCAATATTCTACTAAAATGGCCCTCTCCATGGTCACCTGTGACCTTACAGGCCAAATCTAGCTCTCACTTGACCTTTTGTAGCATTTGCCACAGGTAGCAGCTTCCTCAACACATCGAAAGGAATTGTAGCTCAAAACAATACCTGTAGAACAAAAGGTGTATAATGAAAAGCAGTAATCACCTGTGCTCCCTTCCTCTTCCATCACCATTTCTTCTCCATTCTCCTTTCCACCTCTCGTCTTGTGTTGGCTCTAGTTTTACTTTGACACCATTGAGGTTGATCACATTTCTGTTTATTCCGTAATCAGGTTAAGTTTACCATGCTCTATTTGTAGGTTGATTCCAATTGTTGAAAACCAATACGCAGCTTTTGCCTTACTAGAAGTAGGAGTATATTGTTCACCACAGAGTTGTCTTCTTCTCTGTTTCCAATGTCACAATCCCATGCTACTCAAGAAGGATGGATGGATGGCCCTTTCTTGAATGCCACCAACTGCTCAAAATCATCCCCTTTTCAGTTTGTTTCCTATGTATTGTAACTTAGAAATCACCTTTTGTATTTCCTTGAGTTTCTGACACTTTAAAAAATAGGGAGAAGAATCTTATGCATTTATAAGAAAACAGCCATCAGCTTCTTAATCTTTCTTTTTATTGCTTATGATCCACTTCATACATCTTCGTTAAACCCACTGATGTCCTCTTTTAATTTGAACTAGTTGTTTTATTACTGGATCAGGACTTCATGTGTAGCTTATTGTATATCCTAGGTTTAATTGCTTTTCTTCTGTTCCCTCCTTTTTCTTACATAATGTATATTTATTATCCCTATTTCCCTCTCCAGACTCTCAGTCACACTTGCTGTTGTGTGGAATCCCTCCACCTTCCTGTTTCATTTGCAACTGGTTGCCCTCTAGGTTTGCTGCACAGCTGTCGAATTT